TATTCAAACTTAATTTTCATGGTCATCATTAAATTAAAACGGAACAGAATATCTAATAATTGGGAGATGCACAAAGTTGTTGCAATCATTTTATGTATTATTATAGAAATAAAGTCAAGAATTGTTCGCGCCGGGACCTGCAGAGCACAAAAATTCCAGTATTACTAATATGGCTATGCGGCTTTGACATTACTATAGCAACTTTTGTAATATCACTTCGGTTTATTATTCTTCAGGTATGGCCGAATCAGCTCCTTATACGTTAACCAAACGCTAAAACTGAACTTTTCAGTCCTCGTACCAGGATTTTGATTATGGTTGCTCCCTCAAACTTGATAATTCGTCGGCAGCTCTTGGATATTCAATTTTATTTTTTCTCGCATTCGTAGATTTCCTTACCTACTTACGGTACTTCCCCTTCACCTACTTACGGTACTTCCCCTTCACCTACTTACGGTACTTCCCCTTCACCTACTTACGGTACTTCCCCTTCATTACTCTTGTTCGAAGTGTATCTCGTTCAAATAACGTATGCGAATAATAACATTTTTAGTTATAAAGTGATAAAAATTTACCCGCTCCTGCCAAAAACGTTGATAATGAGCCTCTTATGCTGGAGCAATAAATGGAACATCATACACTAAGAGCATTGTAACTTTCATCGAGAAAACAACTTATAAAAGAGATAATAATGACTCAATTATTTGCTAAAAAAATTGTTACTTCACCATACGCTGTATTATTTCAAATGATATGATAAAAGGCGGAGCAGCTTGATCTAATTTATACAAATTATATTTATTGAGAATTCCTAACGATTCTCAAAGGTTTTTATTGGTTACATTTTTAATTTTCGTTTGTAATAACTTCATTTCTCGAGTACGTAAGACATTTTTCTTACTCTGCTCACAAGGAAATTTTAGCAATTCTAAATCAAGGACCAACGTTGCTGCCAGAAATCTTTGGTGGGCGACGGAGAAAGCATCGAATCCTAATCAGTTACCTCTTAAGATTCGTCGTTGTGTCTCTCAGCAGCTTTGTGTGCAGATAGTAAACACTCGGATTAGCTATGAAATAAGTAAAATTGGTGCCACATCATGAGCAAAATAGGGAGTTATATTGGTTAGAATTTCGGGTTGAATAGAGGCTGTCGACGTAAGTGCAAGTACGATCACCATCCCTTCTACTGCCAGTAACATTTATTTAATATTATAGGAAAAAAATTCGAATACATAAAAAATTTGCATTTAATTCTGAAATATCTTGGGGCTGGTTGATGTGTGTATGAAATCGGCACTGTGTAATGCGTCGTTATGCATATTTAGATCGAATTAGATGCCAGGACGTCAAACTCATGCAGAAATTCCTGCTTTTGCTCAGATTGAACATGCGTGTTGCATGAGAGTTCTTTGGTTGTTAATTCGGGCCGATATGTGCCAACTAGTTTCCGTAATTTTAGCATAGATGTTCATTCAAAAGATTGCTTTCCATGACAACAAGCAGGATTACGAGTGATGATATGAGTTAAGGTTCAAATTAACAGTGAATTGATTGGAGCGTAGGCACGTTCCATGAAATATCTACGCAAAATACAGATCTCCAGGTGAGTGAAGAACTGCTGCCTTCAGGAGTTTAAATATAATATATTGCATTGACTTGATATGTGAGAACCAGTTTAATTTGATCAAATACATGTTTGGAAAAGGCCGCAGGCAATGACGGCGCAAATTTATGATGACACGGCTGGTATAACAGAATAACTCGTATGATTGGTTACGGAACATTATACCTGAAATATTGTACAATAAAAAAATATATATATACTGAGAAAGGCTTTCATTGAATGAGTTTACCATGAGAACACAATTTCAAACTGCGTTCGTGTCGACGTCCACCGGTGATTGACGAATGTATTCTTTGAACGAAATGTGACTCAAGTAGAAAATTCCCACTGAACATATGATTTGCTTCTCGTTTTTTATATATAATGGTCAAAACTCAATGATAAATATATGGTCAAAACTCAATGCACAAAAGATCAGAGTACATTAATTTGCGCCAGGAGCAATAATTAAGTGCTGAGATAATAAAGCTGATAAGTTGAGAGCGATGGACCGCAATTTGCTGTACTGTATGCAAGTCATGCTGTTGTTGATACTCCAGGCACTATCTTAATCAAATTTTAATTTTTCACCTTCTAATTTGAGGCATTGCAACAAAAGTTTCCATCATTTCTTCGTACTTCCGTGCAAATAACTCCATGTACAAAATCAACAATGAAAAACCACAATGAAAGTTATTTTTCATATATTTCTTCACACCATCTCTTCTCCATGCCGTCCACTCCAAATATTGCAGCATCATCACCTCATCCCTAAATGTGATGTTGTTTGTTGCACATCCTTCCTCGTCCATGGGGCGTGAGTTGTTATATTCGCGGTATGATAACATCACGAACACACCAAATAGAACTGTCGAATATTCCATACTTTTTGTAACTACGTAAGTCATATAAATATATTTGCGTGAAGCTTCATGGTTGGGTGTCATTACGGGGCTTTGGACATAAGTGAAGTTTCATGCCATTATTATACGATGAAATATTTCTGTATAGGCCTATATAAAGCACAGTATTTATCCGTATTTCTCGTCTATATTTTGTGTGAGTGAGTGGACTCATATAGCTGCATCTGAAAAGTGGTTTTCGCTACTTTTTCATGTGACTGTTAGTTTGAATGGAAGTTTAGTCTAATTTTAATTTGGGATGGAAGGTTAGAATACTATACATTTTAAAGTTTTTCTGGTCGACGATGTCGTGGAAACAGTGGCGGGTTCAGTGTTCATTAAACAACAGTTGCAGTCAAATATTTTATTGCACGAGACATTATATTCCAATAAGAGTTTTCTTCAAACATGTGAACTGTCGCACTTGTTTACATTCATCGCTTGACAAATAGCCAGCGACTACTCAGTCTACTCACTAGGACAAGCTTCACGAGACACAAGACGCTGCTTTAAAGACCACGTTCCTATTGCTTCCTTTATCTACCCGCAATCTCTGACCACGCTTCAAATACTCTCTAAAACATTCTTACAATTCTAACACTGATAAATTCTAAATTGACAACACATTCATTTACAAAAAATCTAATACCTAATAATAAAATAGCGTTGAATCCAAGACCTCCACTTATCATCCCCCACCAAGTGGAATCCACTTCACTTGAAAACTCTCGCATTGTAAATTAAAAAATCTGTACACATTACATTTCAAAATTTAGCTATAATACCGATTTACGCAAAGCATAATAAAGTTTATCATACTTACAAATCCTATTTACAAACCACTTGCTCTCACTTAATAGATCAATTCATGATAAATACATCTTTACTTAAAATAACAAACCTAACGCAATTTTATTCAGACAGGATATTACAGTAAAACTTGATCCAGGCATTAACCTAAAACCGAAAGTTTATTATCGACAAATTAATACATAAGAATACACGCTTAATAATAATACACGTACACCAAGCAATTACTGACGTCGGCCTTGTTTCCTTAATTGAAATTCTAAAACTTTCAACTGTACGTTGGGGTGACTCTCAACCGGTCCATGCATGAGATTGGGTTCGCACCCCTGCTGTAACGTTCTTCATCATGGGTGATAATATCAGACGCCTCAACCAAAACTTCAGGCTTTCCTGAAACATTCTCACATTTCTAACACTGATTAATTATAAATTGACAACACATTTATTTACCAAAAACTTAATAGCTAACAATAACATAACATTTAATCCAAGACCTCTAAGTTGAAATACTGGCATATGTACAATCTAACTCATGAAAGATTTAGAACAGCCATTATTTGTTTTAACTAAAATATTAAAGGGAACAACCCCTCGTTTCCTCTGTATTATATAAAGTACGATAAGGTTGATTATGTTACAGCACAGATTTCAAATGGATTTTATATTTTTTCTCAGTATGAGGTGTTTCACGCGAGAAAGTTTATTTCGTATAAATGAGCAGGAGCAACTTTCCAATTGTTAGTTGTTCCTGCAGTCCTGCTTTATGTTTCATCGTTTCAAGGCAACATCGGAGGAAGTTGCTAATAAGAATAGTGAAGGGTCTTATTTTCTGCCGTGAGGATAAGCGACTGTAGCGACAGAATGCTGTCGCGCGGCAATGCGTGTGGGAAACACGCCTCCTAAATTTTATCTACAAGAGCAGTCGTTGGAAATGGAAAAGTTAAAGCATTTTTTAATTATATTTTTTCATACCTTTACTGTTTCCCTTCATTATCGGATTATGTTGTTTCAATTATCTGTTATTCGTACAAATTCTCCAGCATTTAAGTTGCCGTCTTTCTTCTCAGACACAACTTTGTCGGGAAACAAAACTCCATTTAATTGCCTAAACTTCAAAACTGTGGCTTCTATTAATTGAACCTAGACTTAAATTTTCTCATCGTTTTACAGACAGAATACGAAACTAATTACGGCTGCCACCAGATATATATTCGACCTCACAATTACATTGACTTCTTCGTAGCAATATTTTTTACACTAAATGCGTAACACGTTATGAATACTTACTTATTGCACTCTTTTTTTATCACTATATACATTTCGAATTACAATGCCTTATTAGGATAGGTGAATCAAGGCCCGTAAGCTAATGTGCGAGTCATATTAAAGGTTTCCTTAATAATTTGAATACGCTGTAATAAATTAGTGCCCCAGTAATAATTCCTGCATAATCTACATTATGAATCAATGGCATAGGATGTGTGAGATTTCGTAAGCTATAATTTTTGGGGTGTAGTATCTATTTTGGGTTAGATGTTTTGGTCTACCAAAATTTTTTTGTTAACTCAAACCTTGTGTCACCGTGTCTCACTGAGGGCTGTGTGTCACCGTGTCTCACTGGGGGCGATGTATTACCGTGTTTCACTGAGGGTTGTGCGTTACCGTGTCTCACTGAGGGTTGTGCGTTACCGTGTAACCATTCGTTCCAATGAGCCACTACGCACCACTCGTTCCAATGATCCACTACGCACCACTCGTTCCAATGAGCCACTACGCACCACTCGTTCCAACGAGCCACTACGCACCATTCGTTCCAATAGACCACTTTGTGAATGTTTATTTTCCGTTATTGTTGCAGCCAAGTCTTGCGCTGAGGACGTTGAACCGCGATGCTCCGCTGGATGCAAAGAATCGCTGCACTCCACTGAGCCTCGTCGGGATAGCCACACTCTCTCTACCGCTCTCTGCGAGCCAAAGAATAATCAGGGATACATAATTTAGTAAAAAGCGTAAATTTATAAAATTGTAACAGCTATCTAATGATCGTGAAAATCCACCATTACCTTACTATGTCGGCTCTGCTACTTAAAATAGCCCCTCTTCCTGAGCTTGAACACCATGAACAAAATTACATATCGTTCACTCATATGCTTAAGAATATGTATCACATCATTATAACATGCAATGAGTTCGAAGAAAAAAACTATATTAGTCATTGTTGAGCAAGAGTATAATAATATGCAGTAAGCACCTTTGGAAACGACAGAGGGTGAATCGCAACCCAAAGCCATGGCTGAAAAATTGGCTCCTTTCGAAATAGTGTGAAAATTATAATTTCAAAATTTTATACGCAAGTACTGCAAAGCTTCTACTAGCTCATGCCTATTTTAACGTAAAAAGTCAAACAATTGTTCAATGCAATTACCTTGATTCGGTCTAGCTTATTTGATTCGCGCAGAAGTAATAATTTTCTCAAATATTGTAAACCCTCAAAATACCCTGTGAAGCCATAGTACTGGAAACTGCATGCACAATTAAAAAACGATTACGAATCGTCAGGCCCCTGAAAGACTTGAAACTTTCCCCAACAAGCTTACCTTAAAAGAACCTGCAGCTGCAGCATCGTGATTTGCGTCAATTCTGATGTTATCGATAATGGCCATATCATCACACTTTACAATATTCAATTTGCCTGTCTTATCGTGAAACAGTCCAACCGAGATTGAACGTTTGGTTGAGTCGGAGTAGTTTTTTACGACACAAGCTTCAGCCGCAAGCGCATCCGAAAAGCTTTCAGAGTTTCGCTCTATATGATCCGCTAATTCAGCTCTAAGTTCTCCGACAGATTTCACTATGCCCTTCCGTGCCAGAATTTTGCTGAAGGCCTTAAGAACACAACGATAGGCTCCTCCTGTTACCTTCTTAAACTTGCCATTACTGTTCATGCAAAGAGCATAGCTAACCCTCCTCTCACGGTCCTCCTTCACATACATCACTTCAACATCAGTTTCAACGTCCTCTTGGGTCTTAGTATACTGTCGATCATGAACGAATTTCAACTTGATGCCGTTTGCTTTAGCCAGGGATGACATTAGAGCAAGATTTATTGGCTTTCCTCCTCTGATATCATTTGCCATTTGATGGACACTCGGGTCTAATGTTCTAGGGGCATCATCTCTGATAGTATGATAATACATTCCATCCTGGATATGAGTAGTTAAGTGATCCCTGGCGTTGCAGTCCAAATGTTGGGTCATGGTTCTGAATTTGAAATAATTAGCGATGAAGGTCTTTTCTTCTTCTGTCAAACCAGGTTTTCTCAAAAGGTTTTGGCATTTGATTTCATAAGCCTTTCGACTGTCCGAATTTAGATTTCCGTCCATGCAAGATTTGTCCATACCGTGATTGGAAATGGAGTTCGCTAGACCATTCTCAGCCATCGCATAAGCTGGTGGCAATGACTGCATAAGCAGAGGATCCATCACTTCCACCAACTGTTGGGCTATCTGGTCTGACACTGACTTGACGACTGTGCTAACGCATTCCAAGTCACTTTTAACGAATATCTCAAACAAATTATTTGTGAATATTATGCTTTTTTCCAGATCTGCCTCCAGAGTGGAGTATTCAGCAAGCGGTCCAGACAATTCATCCAAAAGTAGGTGTGGCGTTGTCTTCCAAACATGCATCAATTTGCCGATTTTTTCCTTCAGCTTCCAGAAATCGCCATTTATATCATTACGTGTTACCAAAAAGTTGTCATTTGTATCAAATATTTCAAGCTCCTTTAATTTTCTGGCAATTGCAATTGCAAAGTCCTTCCTTATCTTCAGGTCTCTTGTCAGAATGTGGCTGATTGTTGAGGAATGTGTGTCAAACACCCGAAGCTTTGTCAGGAGAGCTTCGATTATCCTGTCAGCCAGTATTTCTATCTGGTGCAGCCCATTCAGTGTCGCAATGACCTTTGTGATAATGCTGGCATTGCCTCCTTTCATGTTCAAATCCGATAGAACACAATTGATTAATGGCAATACAATGAAGTCACGCTCATTCTTCATAAAGTCTCTGATTACAATGCTGGAAGTTTGTTTCACAATGTTTTCAACCTTGGACTGAAGTCGATGGGAGCCGATAACCCGATCGATTGCATTCAACTGTCGCAAAATCTTCACGAGTTCGGGATGACAATTAAATGCCGATCTCACTTTTGACTGCACCGACTCACAAATTTCAGACTTAAGAAGAGCAAAAGAAAAGTCAGACAGGTCTTGAATGCCATCTTTTTTAAGCTTAACTGCCAGACTTTTCATATTCTTGCCGAGGATTCCTACCGTAGTCATCACTGTCCGGTAGGTCATGACACGCCCGACCTGTACGCCTGCTTCTTCAAGCACTACTCGGGCACTTCGAGAAACATTCAGGCCCACTTTACCATAAATTAATCCCATGGTACAAGCTGACACCGCTAAATTTGCTGCCTTCTGTATGGCGTAGTTCCTCCAATTGAACTGTCTCGTTTTATATGCACAGAATGCCGTGATCATGTCAGCCACTCCTTCCGCCAGAATACCGCCGCTAAATATGCTCCCAATTCCAGTGGCCATCATCACACTTCCAATTACAATTTGGCAAAAGCAAAGTGCCGCCACTGCAGCCACACTTCGCCAAGGAATAAACAACTTTTCATTCAGCTCAACGATATGCTCGAGACCTCTGGCGGCAAACTGGTTTATTTCATAGTCCGGCGCGGAGCCTTTCGTAAACAAATCGCGCACATTCTTAACTTTGGTTATATTCATGTCTTCTTGTTCTATGTTTGCACCATTCAGGATGAATGATACTTCTTTGTTTGATAAATTTTCGAATTCTAAGGAAAATTCAACATTTCTCTTTCTCAGCTCCTGAATCACTTTTTTTGCGGCGGCTTGGTCTAATTCAGCGACACTGAGGTCAGCTTGTCCTTTGAGTGCAGCATTGAATACATCAGCAATCTCACAAAAGGAAAGAGAAATTGCTGCATTTTCACTGCAGTTCTTCACGACTTTATTTGCTTGATCAAACGTCAGGTCGTCAAATCTGACATAGCAGAATGAACGGTCTTCTCTGAGTTCACGCGCTCGCAACATAAATAACTCCCTATTGAGTTTTTCATGCACTTGACTCTGCCCGACCAACAACGTGCCGCTCGCCAGTGATGAGTCGAGGTTCATTAGACGCAACAAATCTGAATTGTTGAGGGCTAGGCCAACGTGAACTGAATTTGAATAGATGAATTGTAGCTTCGCTTCTGCTTCTTTTTGATTCAAATCTTGGAATTCAACATTTAGAATGCCTGATGATGATGTTTTGGTCACCATGTCAAAACGAAGGTCGGCGTTTTCCAGTTTTTCTTCGACAATCTTGACCAATTGATTGATTTGCTTTCCATCAAACTTTTCCTCAAACTTATAGTCATAATTTGAACGAATCACTAGACTTGTTTCACGTGACTCTGTCAGCCCAAGGACGCGGGGACATGATCGCTCCTCTTCAAGTTTCAATAAGGCCATTTCCCCTGTCAGACCTTTAAACTCTTGGTCTTTGTTATAGAGTGCACTGATGACACTTTCGAGGTCAGCTTGATTCACGTTGATTTTGACATTCCTGTACGATTTCTTGGCCAAGGAACTGAAATGGCATGAACGTCAGAATGACGTGCAACCCACCAGTGGCCTCGATTTCTTCTGTTCTGATGTCAGTGCCGCGTCCAGCTAAGTTTGTGGCGATGATGACTTGTCCAGGCCAAATTTTTTCGACATTTTTCTCTTGATTCACATCATTAATTGTGTACAGCTTGAGCGAGTGCGGGCGCAGTTTATTTTTTACCAGATCACTGACTTGAACGGCACTTTCGATTGTTTCACAGATAACTAAAATTCCTCTGTTTTTTTGAGTCTCCAGCACAATGTTTGTCGCTATTTCTTCCATCCACCTATCCTCATTTTCCGCAACAATAGATTCAAGCTGCAGGAATAGTTTCTTACGTTTCTCTGGGATGTTGAGAAGGTCTACTGAGTAGACGCTTTTCAGCAGGTTCCTAGCAGCCTCAGACCCTAGAGTTCCGGTAAGACCACACACATGTTCATATTTATTAATGAGTTCCACATTGGAAAGGTAATTGGTGATCAGCGTTTCACTGGTCATTTTCAAATTGTGCTTTAGTTGAAGAAATTGCTGAAGCCCATCACCCCAGCTTGTGAAACTTTCAACTATGCCAGTGTTGTGGTAGTCAACAGGTTTAATTTGCCCGTCCTGAACTATATATTGGACATTTTCCTGGTACCGTAAGGCCTCTACAGCATTTATAATCCATTCAGACTTTTGCTTCTCGACGAAATTTTCGAAATGGCTTGGAATATAAATCGTATTTTGCTTCATCACGTCCTTAAGATAAAGCATTAGAGAGTTTCTAAGGAACTCCTCCGCGTCTTCAACAACCTCAGCAAGTGGACTTCGGCCCCCAGTTTGTGCCAAGTGGACTTCCAAGTCAGTGATTTTCATGATATCGCCATTTTCATCAGCAAACTCCAAAGTGACGGTGCCATCATGAAACCCTAGGGTACCCTTAACATAGTACAACTTGTTGTTGACCATTATTAACTTGCTTTTGATCGAAACCAGGTGCTGCCAAATAAAGACATAAAGCGCTTGAAAATGGTCAATCCCTGGGACAGTTGAAGAAAGGCGAGCAATTTTCGAACTGTCATCTATCAACATGCTATCCACCTCGTCCACAATAGCCACACCGAACTTCCTACCACCTAATGTGTTCAACTTGCTGTAATTGTCTCTTAGTATGTCAAACTGAAACTGTGACATCTCACCATATACTATGGCAGCAGAATAGCAATTTTTCTTGCCTTTCAAGTAGATAGTTTTGTCACTGTTATCAGAGCATTTGAGGTCAAACATTTCGTACAACTTTGCTTGCTGCTTTGCATCCCTTTCAGCTAAAATTGGTGAGCTGGTGATGATGTCTACATTTTCGCCTCTTAGAGAATGTATTATGGCTAGGATGGAAATGATTGTGGATTTCCCTTCACCAGTAGCTACTTCTAGTAACTTACCTCTGACACTTCCAACTGTTTTCAAGGCTATTAAACTGCATAATATCTGGGGGTAGGTGAGATTGTGACCATTTACGAGGTAGTTGGCTCGGTAGATGACTGCAATTGCCTCACAGTCAGTGAATGTCTTGCCAAATTTTAGCTTGACCTGTTCAGCCCAACTAACAATCTGTTTTTCATTCCAGGTCAATTTGTCTGAGTGCTCCTGGAAAATGAATTGCTCGATATTAAGGTAATTTTGTTCCATGAGTTTACGTACAAGTTCTGATTCCGATTTATTTTTATCTTGCAACTCATCTAGCAGCTCATTGAGGTTTTTCACTTTACCCTCCAACTGAAAGTGATTATCAACTGCCAATTGATGGAGTTTCTGAATGATCTCTTTAAAAGTTGTGCTTTCCGTCATGATTTTCTGACACTTTTCAATGCAGAGAGGGGAGAACAACCTGTAACAATGAATGGTGTTCAACAAGTTTATCAGATTAGGAAATTGATTGACTGGCCAACTAGGGTTGAATGCCGACACCAGTTGGTGCAATTGAGGGAAATCCCACCCAGCATCACGGAGAGCCTGAATTGTGTCTTGGAATTTTTTTTCCTCAATTTCATTTCTTGGCTGACATGAGGCACATTTCATTAGATATTGGACCTGCACAAATTGCAGTAAATCCTCGACGTGATCAAATATATGAAACTCGATGTCACTGAGGAGAATTTCTGCTTTTGAACAAAATTCGATGAATTTTTCAAAGCCAACCAGATTGTCAATAGATGGCAGGCAGGAAAAAATGTTCTGTATGCAAAGTATATCGAATTGGGAACACAGTTTTCTAGCTAACATTTTGGCATACTTATCACTGATACCATTTTTTAGTGTGCAGTGGGATTGGATCTTGCTCAGGCACCAATGTTGTTTCAAGGCTTCGTAAGGTTCTGGGCCATGAATATCCAATTGGTGGAGAACGTCATCAAATGGCTGCTCAGAAATTATTGACATAAGTTCAAGAATTTGTGTGAAACTATGAAACTCGCACTTTTGGATGAGAGATAAAACTTTACAAGACTTTTCATCACCAAGTTTCATTTCCATCCTGGACCATCTTGACTCAAAACCCGTTATGTCCGACTGACAGGCACCAAAATATAGGAAAATGCTTGAAGTCAACAAATTTCTTTCCCACTTTTCCTTCGTGCCATCCAACAGAGCTGTGACATCAAATATCCTTAAGGACATGATGATCTCCATTAAATTCAAAAAGTTTTCTAATTGCCCAATTTTCACATTCAGAGACGCACCCAAACTGTGCAGCCTGACGTTGCACCAGTCAATCAAAACTTTTTTCCACTCTTCTTTGGCTGAATACTTCAGAACTCCGAATGCGTAACTTCTGATTTTTGAACTTTTGGAGACAAGATTATCAAAAGCAATTTCATGACAGATATCTGGAAGTTGCTTAAACTGTTGCGCATGGTACATGGCCTCAAACAGACGGGTATGAAGATGAGACAAATCTCTTTCATTCTCACTGAAGTGAAGTACTAATGCCTGCAAACACTCCACCACTTTGTAACACTTCCGCTCTCGGATGATGGTGCAATAACATGGCAGTGTTATTTCCAGGAGAATTTTTTTAAGCAAGCACTGCTCAACGAGAAGAACAAATGCTTCATTCTTAACATAGTTGGGTTCTTCACTGACCACCAAACGGAGAAAATCTGCCAGATTTTCCGTCGTGCAAACATAATGGCTTGCTGGGAGCAACTTTTGCAATTTTAACACAGTTTCATTTCTCAGCTCAAACTCCCTCGTTAGTTCTTTGTACAAGGAACTTTGAAGAAATACCTTCACATTTTTGTCATGGTTCATTTCTGTGTCCCGCAATTGCCCAGCTCTGCCGCTCAAGCACTTCCCACTTTTTCCGACCTCTTTGAACAGTTCCAGGCACGATTTCCTCAATGTGTCGGATACGGTGCTCTCGAATAAAATGGCCAAGCTATCCAGCAGTTTATCGGAAATTTTTGCTTTATTCGAAACTTGACGTAAAACACACAAAGCCTCCCCTTGCAGCTGCATGCTTTCATTGTCGATTATGTGTTTAAGCTGAAGATAATTTTGTTCGAGCAAACCTCCACTGACATTTGTATAGCATTTCAACTGTTCGAGCACATTTTTTGGTGAAGTGAAGTGCAAGTTGGCAAGACTGAGTTTTTCCCTGAACTGCTTCATGGGGATGACAGGGTTGTACTTGTCCTCAATAAAGCCAAAAGTCAGTGCGATTTCGCTCCTCACATATTCGTCGCAGGTGGATCTTGTTGCAATGTCCACCAGTTTCTGAAGCAGGCCTTCATCTACACGCTTGCAAAAGATGATCAGTTTACGAAGAGCAGTGATGCTCATGTTTTGAGCGACGTTGTTGTCAGAAGCGATTTGTTCTGTCAGAATTTGGTTCACTTGAGGCAAATAGCGACCAATGTCGGTCTTGTTGGCATCAATGAGAGACCCCAAGCAACTGAGCATTTCCAGTTTCAGAGCTGGGAGCTGCCCAGTTGACAGCTTGCTGAGAAGTATCATGTTCAGGTTCGGTGTGAGCTTTTCACCCTTTTGGGCCTGATAAATAAACACCTTGAGGATGAATGGCTCCAAAGTGTCATGTGCCAATGCTAGTTCAAGTTTTTCCAGAAGGTCAGAAGACAAAGTCTGGTTGTTTTTTACTGCATTTTCAAAAATGTCGACAAAAAGGATGTTCCTATTGATGTCATCAGCAGTTAGTGGATTTATCGCAAACAATTCGGTCAGACGGTCCAGTATTTGCTCCGAAATAATTTGATGGTTTCTTGATGCATTGGCGAAAATTTTCAACACTCCTGTGTCACTGAGTTCTTTCTCGAGAGCAAGTATTGTGTCAACTGGCAGCAGCATTCCTCTATCAATGTAACTATCGATGAAGTTGATCAAAATGGGCCTGTCAGCTGCACCAGTGTCTAATGCATATCCTGCTCTAGCCAGCTCAAGTTTCCAAAAAATGTCATCAGGAATTTCTTGGTTTTGGCTGGCTCGTTGGAGCAACTCAAAGGATTTATTTCTGTCTTGGGCGTTTGATGAGTTGTACAAGCAATCTACGAGAACGATTAAAGTCTTGCATGAAACTGTTGAATTACCATTGAGAATGACTCGATGCACAACCAAATGGGCATTTTTGGAGAATTTAGGAACAGAAAGAAGTTTCTCCACTGTTCTCACAACGGCTTCTGGTACGATGAACTTACACGAGTACGAATTGAGTATGGCAAGTATTTGAGAGGCATACTTTTGGTTTAATTCAAGAACCGTTTCAAAAAGCATGAAGATATCATCATTGAATTCATGCTTCTCGGATTCGCACAACAGCACTTCAAAGAGGTTGGTGTTGATTTCACTTTCATAGTCAACTTCATCCAGCTTCAGACTTTCAGGTACATAAAGGTCGCTCAGTTTCTCCAAGTGGGCTGGATTAAGAGGCACAGGAGTTGGATCAGAAGCCACTTTTGCACATGCTTTCATGTACGCAGCTCGGACATACACACTCACATCATATGTTGGAGAGCTTATAAAATCCAGTAACTGATTTAAAATCCTATCTTGAAATTTGGTGTATTCTGTGAGTCTGTATAAGATTTTGGCAGCAACGATTTGTGTCTGTTGGGTTTCATTTCTACAGGAAGACTCCAAAACTAGGAGTAGATTATCAAGGGTCTGAGAACTCACAATCACCTTATTTTCTACCGATGTGAAAATTATATTTGCAGCCAAGAACGAAATCTGGTTGCTGGGACTGTGCCCTGCCAATCCTGCCCCTGTTCCCGAAAATTTTACCAGTTCATCGTCATATTCACTGATTTCAACCACATGGTTGCTCAACAACTTGCTTGAAACTAATTCAATGAGGCAAGGGTCATTGTAAAAACTGAGCCATGAATTTCCCTGACTGCAAAAAACCCTACTCAAAATGAACACCATGAAGCTGGTGCATTCTTCATTCAGAAGACTCTTCAATTCTTCTCGGAGATCATTCAAAATACCTTCCGTAATCAATTGTTTTTTGTCCATTGACAACAATAGCACTGTTAACCCTGCATTTTTCAGAGAAATTTCGTTCGACACGAAACAGGATTTTAGCAAATTTTCCAAGTTTTCATCACTCATGGCGGGGTTGTGCTCATGTTGCAGGTAGGTGCTGATAATCTTCAGGACATCCAACTTTTGGTCTTTCGAATACATAGAAGATACTCCTACTAATCCCATTAGCCTTTCGAGGACATCTGTCTTGAACAACTCTTTGCTCCTCTGTTCGTCCCAGGCTTGCCTGAGCATGATTTTAAGAATGTTATCAACATTTTCCAGTGAATTCGGCTGTAATTTTCTGAGATGTTCCTTAAACATCTTGGCGTAATTAAGCTCATCCATAGTTACAGCAACTTCAAAGAGCTCAGACATCAAGTTTGCGAATTTTTGACCGTCTGGAAATGTTTTTTCTGTCTTACGATCATAGTTGCATATTTTCTTCACAACTTTTCCCGTCAAAACTGTTCTCTTGTCTCTGTGAACACAGTTGTAAAGTGCATTGACGGCATCTTGCCTGACGAGATTTATTTCCTCAAAAATAATATTCTTGATTTCATTTCTGTCGTAAGACTTTTTTCTGACTCCAGTTCTTTTGTAAAACAAACTTCCTTTCTCATACTCTTCAGTTGTTTCCTCCATGATTTTTTTCACAAAGATGACAAGGATGTCTGGCTCAGTCATCTTTTTTAACTTCCAGTAATTATTCAGCACCTCATCCACAAAGAATGCACAGATGTCTTTTGGGACGTTCAAAAGTGAAAGTAGACCTTCAAAATTAGTGACACACTGCAACAATTTCGAAATTGCTTTGGCGTTCAACTGCTGTTTCCTTGACACTTTTAATAGTAAGGAAGCACACATCCTGTTAACAAAGAACGAATAAAATGTATTCCTGTTGCTATTGTCAGTCCAGATATAGTGATGGCCAAGAAATTTGTCCGGCAAGTAGTAATCTTTGTCATCATCCTTGAGTACCTTTCCCTGAGACACCAGGGTATAAAGGTTAACTGTTTCTGCCCAGGTGGCTCTAAACATGGATCTGTCATTGCCACTTTGACTATCTTCAGTTACCATCGGGCTTTTAACAGTTGTGACTTTGACTCTTCGGTTAAAGCTATTGATGCGTTCACTGAGATCCAAGAGCTTGTAATCGATTTCATTTGAATTCTTTGCCTCATTTTTGCCAATGACTGTTTGTTGGGTCATGGTCACAATTTGCTTGTTTTTCTTCCCTTTCGACATCATTGTGGATTTTTTTAGCTTGGTTTTGCTTTCAATTTCTCTTGATATGTGAATGTCTTCATTGCACTCCAATTTGGCAAGAAAAAATGATTCCGTTTCTGACGTAAGATTTCTCATATCATGTACTAAATTTTTCAACTCGGTTATGTTGTCAGTTGTGAGCAGATGACGGGATTTTTCCAGCCAACAAGCTAGCATCATTACAAGTTCATTGTTGATGGTTACATTTTTCCAACTTCTGACAAGAACAATAATTGAGGAACTTTCCAAGGGACTCATTGCATTGCTGGCGCTGTTTTTGGTTAGGTGTTTTAGTGCTAAACACAAAAGACGCAGCTGCTTCTGATTATCTGTTTTCACAATGCCATTGCTTTCCTTCAGATGGTGGAACAATCCCTGCCCGAGATTGTGTGAACCTCTATGAACTTCTTGGCAACAGCTGGGGATATCTTTTAAATCCTCAAAGGACAAATTGAACCTACGGATGAAGTTAACAAGCTTTGCTAGGTGTCGCGGGAAGAAATCCGATTTTCTGCTGAGTCTCCTTAGCTCGACTAATGCACTTGGTTTATCAAAGTGGAAGGAAAGATATGCTTTGTATTTGTCCATGATTAGCTTCTTGAATTTGCTAAGTGCAACTGCAATTAAAAATGTGATGAGCAGCGGTTTTCAAGCGATGCCATGCACATGATACTTCTCACTTCTGCATCTTTATTCTGTCGCGATGAAAGCTCTAGAAAAGAAATCAAGAGGAGACAAATCCTATTTCGCTCTTTTTTATCATTATTGGTTTACGGTGTCGGATTGAACTGTAGAAACTTGTAACGAGTAATTTAGGCTGACTTGCCGCTCAATACTTCAACGTGTTCGTTTGCGGACAAGTTTTTCTTTTGCGTGTTAGTTTGCGGACGAGTTCTTTCTATTACATGTTAGTTTGCGGACGAGTTTTTTTACGTGTTAGTTTGCGGACGAGTTCTTTGTTTTACATGTTAGTTCGCGGACGAGTTCTTTCTTTCACGTGTTAGTTTGCGGACGAGTTCTTTCTTTTACATGCTAGTTTTTGGACGAGTTCATTCTTTTACGTGTTAGTTTGTGGACGAGCTACTTCTTCAGTTACGAGTATGGTCACATAGACGGCGATGGCTTGTATATAGCGTCGTCGCTCGACCGGTCCGTGGATTATACATGTGGGTGCCCACATCTGAAGGCAAATATGATAAAGTTTAAATATAAATAAATAAAATCTCTAGGGATAGAATCCTAAACGGTAACCTCATAACGAAATGTTATGCATATCAATAAGTTTATATAACATACGATTTGTACTTACAGGCCTCAAATTACTGAAGGCGCTGCTTGGACCTTCTTTTGAGCAAGACACCACTCTGAACTGCTGCTATACAAACGATAATGTTCCAGGGAATCAATTTTCCTGATTGATTTCCAGCAATGAAATCTGGTTGCTCAGTCTGTGCCCGGCCAATAAATTTTGCCAAGATCAATCACCAATACATTCATCTGAAAATAAATCAATTATGTGTCTCATGAAACTGGAAAAATAAGGCACAGTATTCGTGAAAATAAATACGGGAAATATGTTTTATCCCCGCACTCTTAATAAGCACTCAGTGAGAACTTCAGGTCAAGGTCAGAAATTTGGATTTGTTAAATACTGTAATAAAAATATAATGCATTACATGGATGTGGAGGCACAACATCTACAGATGATGTTGGAGAGAGGCAAGGAATCCATAAAGGCCAACTGCAATAATGTTATCGGTGTTGGAAATTAAGTAATTCGAATATAAAGCAGAGACGTTTCAGCGTTGTCCAAAGTGTAGAATGCGTCCTACTATTGAGGAACGAATACGAGGGAAATTAGCGTGACTAATAATTAAATTTCATACATATATTCAACTTTTTCTTATTGCCGTAAGAATTAATCAGAAAGCAACGGAAACTAGAGTTCAGGCGCGATGCAGAACAAAATTGTTATCAATCTCAGAATTTTTGCAGTTTCTTTGTTGAGGAGCATACCCCCGTTTCTCAAGTTGTGTTAGGTGCAGTTTGATTATTTACGGCGCTGACTGGAATGCCTGACAGCGTCTTCAGTGTTATTGAGGACAATTCCTATCATCTTAAGGGGAGCGTCTGGGGTAAAATTTATCTCGGCTATTTACAGACGGATCACTCTGAAACTTGGTACACGTATGTAAAATAGAAATCTAAGACTTTTTTGTTCATGTAAATTTTTCGAAAAAAATGAAAGAAAACGGGAATTTTTTAGAAAACTGTCAAAAAAGGGGGCACCGTAGAAATCTATTTCCTCCTAGGATTTTCAAGGTACAACATCGAGACACAGATCACTCGAAGCGTAAAGACCATATCTAAAAATTTTAGAGGGCGTTTTTTGAAATTCTTATTTTTGTGCGGAAATTTTCCGATTTTATCCCCCCACACCCCCTCTTTTTGCGGAATAAAATCCAAACTGTAACGAAATTGCAAAAACGCCCTCTACACTTTCCATTCTAGATCTTTTCTTTGCGAATCGAATGGTATATGGCTCATTGATGTAGCTTCAAAACTGTAGGAGGAGATAGGATTGCCGTGAGAGAGGTTTCCAGCTTTGGCAACTTTTCAGTAGAGGCAAAAAAACCGCCGCGCGGCACGTAAAGGCACGTAACGTAGCCTAGATACCGAAAGAAAGCGTCAACTCACTTCAAAGTCAGTCATCGGTGCATAGAGCCACTAAATGAACACCATCCCGCGTGCTGTCTGTGATGTTACTGCACTCTAGCCGAGTGGATAGAACATTGTATAGTTAATTTCCCCCTTTAGAATTACTGAAGGCCCCACCCCTTTCCCCCCCTCAAGGGGTTTGTTATGAACGCAATAATCAACATACAGAGATGGTTCTAGTACCGTTCGATGCGGCAGAAAGTAAGCTTTAAGATGAGTATAAGAACCGGAGAATGTCATAATTGGCCGCTTTACGTCAGACGATCCCCTTTATGCGTGCCCGGCCGGGTAATTTCCGCCTTAGCTTTACTGAAGGGGCCCGGACACCTCCTCCCCTTACGGGATCTGTCGCGAACGCATAAATCAACGTACAGAGATGGTTCTAGTACCGTTCAATGCGTCAGAAAGTAAGCTTTAAAACGAGCCCAAAAACAAAAAAAAGTGAAAATTTTCGATTTTACCCCAGATGCTCCCCTTAATGCTCATGACAGCGATGGAAGGATGACTGGCGCCTATGCGTCGAGGTTAAGAAAAATTGTTTTACGGAACTGAGGATTTGGCATCTTCGTTCTCCTATTTTGATTCATATTAGAAATTTTTTTACTCAATCGCAGACGAAACTTTGGTTGAGAATTCAGTCACTGAAAAGAGATCTATCTCCCTTTCGTCGGAGTTGAGTTAACGGTACCTTTCACAAATTCGCTGAGTACTTAATAGAACGCCGAATAATGAGAGAAAAACAAGAATGTTTAAAGGGAGGTAGAGAGAAGAACAGTAATGCAGGAGTAGGTGGGCGAAAGAACGAAAATACAATAAATAGGTCCTGAAAAAACGAATGATGTAATACCTGGTGAATCGATCGTAAATGTAGCAATTGGCGAAGTAAAAACATTAGTGTAGGCGAAAGTGAAGAAAAAAAGAGCACTGTAGGTGTAGGTGAAATAAGAAGCAGTAATGCAGTGACAGGTAGAGAAAATGCAGCAATGCAGGAATAGGTGAAGAAACAAAGTTAATGCAGGAGTAGGGGGAGAAAAGAAAAGTATAATGCAGGCGTAGTTAGAGAAGTCATTCTTAGACCACATGAATGTTGCATTCTTAGATGCATATCAGAAAGTTAAATCAAATTCTGAATGGAGTTATGTGAAACTTATGAATTATAATCTGCCCTTATAATTATTAGCATCGAACAGATACCTCTTTAGATTCAAAACGCAACTCATCAAAGAAAAAAACACGACTTTACGAAGTAAGACGGAATTTAGTACTAAGTCCATGAAACTTTGGCACCAAAAATTGCAAGTATCAAAAATTAAAATCTTTTCACTCTTCAAAATTAAAATCAATTCTTGTATCAAAAATTAAAATCTTTTCACCTAATTTAACCGTTTGAATTAATCTTTATATATGTTGTCGAATTATTATTGTGTTTTTAGAAGTTTGTTATGCTCAACAATTTTCGAAAGTCTGTAAATCCTCAATAAATCACCGGCACTCAAGCTGACGAAGTTTCATGCACTACAAAAAGGAGTTTGCAGAGATAAAACAAACATTGCGGCAATTGAAATACCTCATTTAATCACCTCCAGGTGGAAATAGTGAAGCCTCTCCGTCTGACTTTGAAACAAACGCTTCTTTAACAGTCACTGATGATTTCGTCCTATTTTCTAACGTGCCAATGGCATCTATCAGCTGACTGGCAA